TTTCTGCACACACCAGCTGAAGTTGGCTTCTGTTATAGCCACTAGAGACATATCAAGTCCCCTCATGATTAAGGGAGAGAAAGCATGTGAGCCACCTGGGACACAGCAAATCCTCCCAAGCACTTCCATCCTCCACCTACATGGGGGCTGCTATGGACCAGATGTTTGTGTAGAGTGTGGTGCTGGTAACGGCAAGGTCCCGGGTTTGATCCCTGTGCCCTTCCCCAAAGAAACTCTAATCTATTTGGATGTGTGGCCTTTGGGAGATGATCAGGCCATGAGAGTGGAGCCCTCATGATAGGATTAGTACCCTTATAAGAAGAGACACGAGACAGCTCGCTCCCTTACTCTCTTCTCTCCGTCATGTGAGAACACGATAAAAAGATCGCCATCTACAACCAGGAAGTGGGCCTTCACCGGACCCTGGATCTGCAGGCACCTTTACCTTGGACTTCCCAGCCTCCAGGACTGTGAGAAACAGATGTTTGTTGTTTAAGCCACCCGTCCTATGGTAATTTGTTACAGCAGCCTGTGAAAGTTGGTTATACAAATTGGGCCATTATGTCACACCCAGACTAAATCAAAATTGAGGGGCCGGGGTAAAAAGCACTCAGGGCACATAGTACCTGCTCCAAGAATCTTCTACAAGCCCAGCTGCTGAAATGACCTGCCGTGATGCTAAGACACGTTTACCTGCCGCCGTCACTCACCAGTCAGAGCCAGACGACTCCCAAAACTTCACTAGTGCCAGTGAGCTTTCTTTCAATACAATATGTGGCATTTTTCTCTCTAATAAAACTCCCAGCCCTTTCTTTGTTCTTTGACGATTCTGGAGACCACTGTGGTCTGTGTGTGTGCCCCAGATTGCAATCCTGTTTCCCTGAATACAACGTTTTCTCTAGAGATTTGTCTCTCTATATTTTATTTGACTTTGACAAGACTGAACTCATTAAAATAGGGACTGAATTTGAGGCCACTGCTGCCCTCAAATATTCAGAAAGCCTGAAGACCTTCTATCATTAAGTGTCCTGGCTGCTGGGGAGACCCCAACCTTCCCCTAGTTCGCAGGAGCCTCTGCGCTCCCTTTTCCATTGAGCTTCCTGCTCCCTGAACTCTCCCTGCAGGAGCCAAGTCAGTTCCCACCTGCCTTACCTGCTCCTCGCTCTCCACTCCCAGCCTCCCTGGGAGTCCCCGTGGAAGCAGCCAGGGCTGAGAAAGAGCCAGGTGTCTGGGGGCCAGGGACATGGACTGTAACCCAGCTGGAGCCTGGGCTCCCTCGTTTGTAGCTGCATGGTATTGGGTGGGGACTTGCCCTCTCCGGGCCTCGACTTGCCTCTCCGTAAAATGGGCATCATCTCGGGGCCTACCTGTCACGCTTCTTGCGGAATGGGATGGGATCGATGCCTATTGAGGTGTGGCTGGCAAAGCACTTAGTTTGGAGGTGCCTGGCATGTAGTAAATGCTCCATAGATGGGAGATGCTGTTCCAAATATTGAGTGCCCGATGTGTGCTTAGCACCGCTCCAGGCACTAGAGAGTTAATGGTGAACACAATAGTAATAAATATATATTGCGACATTACTAGAGACAGCAGGTGGGGAATCCCTGCTTGTCTTCTCAGCCCTGGCTTCCCCAGCTTCCTGCTTCCCATCTGCCTTGTCCTAATTGATACCAACCCCTAGGGCAAAGGGCAGACCCTTGACTCAGAGCAAGCAAAATAGGCCAGGCTTTCCGTCTGCCTCTCTTTTTCTTAGCATCTTTCTTTCTTTCTGTCTCTGAATTTTGGTAGAAGAGATTCAGAACATGCAAACAAGTGTGGTTTGACTCCTCACGGCAGTCGGCGGTCGAGAGGACAGTGGAGCCCAGGAGCGGAGCCCAGGAGCGGAGTGTCTCTGAATTTTGGTAGAAGAGATTCAGAACATGCAAACAAGTGTGGTTTGAATCCTCACGGCAGTCGGCGGTCGAGAGGACAGTGGAGCCCAGGAGCGGAGCCCAGGAGCGGAGCCCAGGGCAGAGATGGCGGCCCCTGGAGGGAAGGGAGCACCTTGCCTCCCTCATAACACTTCCATTTCCCACCAGGCCCTGCTGCGCTCCCCACCCATCCATTCATTCTTCAGTGTGTCCTGCCCTGTTCTAGGCTCCTAGGAGACAGCCGAGAACCAGACAGAAACGTCCTGGAGCTGATGTGCCAGGGGTTACCCCTGCGGTTCCACAAGGCAACCCACACTTTGAGCCAGTTGGAGAGAGCTTTTGTCCTTACAGCCTGAGCCTTGGCTCCAACATACCCCACGGCGTTGGCCTTCCAGAATGCCTCTCCTTGCCCTCCTGCCGTGTTGGCCTCCTGCCAGCTCAGCTCATGGGTCCTAAGACTTCCTGCCACAGGCCCTTTGCACAGGCTGAGCCCTCTGCTCGAACCCCTCTCCCAGCTCTTTCCCTCTCTACTTAGAACTTTTTTTTTTTCGTGTCCGGCAACGGATCGCAACCCTCAGTGTCACGCCTGTACCGGACCGTGACCAGCAACGGGATCACAACCCTCGGTGTTGCTCCCATACCTCGCTCAGCCAGTGAGCGGGAACCGTGACCGGCAACGGGATCACAACCCTCGGTGTTGCTCCCATACCTCGCTCAGCCAGTGAGCGGGAACCGGTCTGTATGTGGGATCCGAACCCTCGGCGGGAGCGCCGCCGCACTCCCAAGCGGCGCACTGTAGCAGTGCACCACCGGGCTGGCCCTCTACTTAGAACTTTTAGTCATCATCCAACCTTGTCAAAGGATCACCTTCCCAGTACAACCTCCCTGATACCCCAAATGGTTCCCCTATTTACAGTCTCATAATCTCTGTATTTTCCTTCACAGTTATCTGTCACAGTTCATAATGATTTATTTTTCTGGTGTGTGGTTATTTAGATAATATCTATCTTCCCTATTGGACTTTGAGTCCCTGGAAAGCAGGGCTAGGGCTATCTTGATCACTACTGTGTTCCCAGCACTGGCCAGTACAGGCCAGATACAAAGGAGGCACTTGGGGAGCGTTTGCTGAAGGAAGGAGTGAATGAGCAATTTAGCATCTGTGGGAGGCAGCCACATGTCTTTAGCTCAGGTGGCCCTACATTTGAATTCTGACTCTGCCACTGATTAGTTGTCTGATACTCTAGAAGTATCTCAAACCACCTGAGTCTCAGTTCCCTCCTGGATAAAAGGGAGATTTAACCCATAGTACAACACACGGATAGGTTACAGCATGAATCAGATCACATCCTCTAGTGGCTCCTCATCAAATTTTCCCCACGGCCTACAAGCCCCTGCGTGCCTTTCAGACCTTGCCTCCTACCCCCTCCTTGCCCACTACCTACAGCCACGGAGTCCTTCCGTCTATGCTTTGACCACAAGAAGCTAGTCTAGCCTCAGGGCCTTTGCACTCGCTGGTCCCTCTGCCAGGAACTCTGTCCCCCCAGAAATCCACATGATTCCCTCCTGTTTTAGTCCATCTGGGCTGCTATAACAAAACACCATAAACTGGGCATCTTATAAACAACAGAAATGTATTTCTCACAGTTCTGGAGGCTGGGAAGTCTAAGCTCAGGGTGCCAGCACGGTTGGGTCCCGGGGAGGGCCCTGTCATTGCCGACTTCTTGCCGTGTCCTCGCATGGCAAAAGGATCCAGTGAGCTCCTGCAGGCCTCTTTTATAAGGGCACTAATCCCATTTCACACGTGCTCCACCCTCATTGGGGAGGGCCCTGTCATTGCCGACTTCTTGCCGTGTCCTCGCATGGCAAAAGGATCCAGCGAGCTCCTGCAGGCCTCTTTTATAAGGGCACTAATCCCATTTCACACGTGCTCCACCCTCATGATCTAATAACTTCCCAAAGGTTCACCTGTTTTTTGTTTTTTTTTTTAAAGACTAGTCAAGTGCAGCTGTGAGATGGGGGGAGAGCATAGAACAAGGGGTTCGATCTGTAACTGACTCTGAACAGTCAATTGAGAGAACTCACTACCTTCGGACCAACCAGGCCCACATTTTAATGCCATCACCTTGTTGGGGGGGTGCAGTTAGGATTTCAACATACAAATTTGGGGGGACACACGCATTCAAATCATAGCACCTCTCTCCCTCAGTAACCTCCTTCTGATCTCTCCTTAAATGCCACCTCTTCAGTGAGGCCTCCCTGGTGACTGCCCTTCCAATGTCACATCATCCTATTTAATTTTCTCTACCAGGCACGTTATAACCACTCTGTGCCTCAGTTTCCCCATTTGTAAAATGGAAACAATAATGGTACCTGCCTCATGGAGTTGTTTTAAGGTAAAGATGAGTTAAAGAGGGCAGTGTTTCTCAACTGGGGCAATTTTGCCCCGGGAGACATTTGACGATATCTGTAGATATTTCTGGTTGTCACAGGTAGGAAGTTGCTACTGGCTTCTAGTGAGTAGAGGTCGGGGATGCTGCTAAACACCTCTACAATGCCCAAGCCCTCTACTACAAATTGGCCAGTCCAGAATGTCAGTGCTGCCGAGGCTGAGAAACGATGCTTTAGGGAAAATGTTTAGAACAGTACCTGGCCCGTACAAGTGCCTGAGAAATCTTAGCTGCTGCTATCATCAACCACCCTCTCCCTAGCACTTTGCCCAGAGAGGATTCATCAATAAATACCCAACTTATGAATAAGAAGATTGAGTGATAGAGTGTATTCCTTATGACCAGGCACGGTTAATGCTCAATAAATATTTGATTAATTAATGCATGTGAAGAGTAAACGAGATGGTGCATTCTCTAGTGTCTGGCATGAGGCAGGCATTCAATAGATATTTTATTCGCTAATGCATGTGAAGGTTAAACAGTATCTCCAGGGCCTGGCATACAGTAGGTGCTTAATCAATACGTGTTGAATGGAAGAATAAAAGGATCGAATGAAATGGTGTTTGTGCAGGGCCTGGTACATAGTAGCTGTTCAGGGCCCATTAGTGTCCCACGTCCTCCTCCCCCAGCCCCTAACACTCACCGGCTACCCGGACCTCAGTCTTGGCCCTCATGGTCCAGGCAGGGTTGATGGTGATGGCTACCTGGTAGGTGCCACTGTCTGTGGGCTGGGCACGACGCAGCAGCATGGAACCATTGTGGAAGCCCACGATGTCTCGCTGTTTCATAGCACTGCCATCCCTCTGGGGCCGCTGTAGCTGGGGGATGTAGGTGAATAGCCTGGTGCCTCCAGAGGTCTCATCCCCCAGGTACCAGTTGATGTCCTGAAAGGTGTCTGGGACACCCTGGACGGACAGGAGAAGGTCCTGGTTCTTTTGAGGCTGTTCTGGTATCTTCTGGATGTGCAGGGCTGCTCGGGAGCTTTGGGGCATCCACAGGGCCAGGATTGAAGCTGTGGGAGGTAATGGAGGAGGCCTGAGCTGGGGGGTGTTGGGCAGAGACCCAGGCATTTCCTATAGGCCCTTATGTGGGAAGAAAGACTCTGAGTGCTGTTCATTGGAAACAGGCTGGGGTTGATCAGTGATGTCTGCCCTGGAGTGGGAACGCAGGCAGGAACCAGGCAAATCTACGGAGATTTTGCTATCCCATTGGCCCAGAAGGTTTTTTCTGCCCTTTGTTAGATGCTGTGTGATCTGCTTTAAACAATTGGACTATCTGAATTCTCTCATTAATTTATTCAACCAGTATTTATAGGCATTTATATTATATAAGCTACCATACCAATTATATATGATATGTCTAAAATTCCCCAGACTTCTAGGCACTAGGCATACAGCAGGGAACCAAACACAAATAAATTCCTGACCTCATGGTCCTGATATTCTAGAAAATTCCATAGATAAAATGGGGATGAGGTTCTGATTCTCCTGCCCCTCATCCACATCTTACTCTAATAGTTTCATCTTCCACAATACTTTTTCCCTCCTTCTACGAGGAAATCTCAGCCCCCGGGCTAAGTGCCACCCTCTCCCCTCAGCCCTTGAGGTATGTTTCCTCCTTACCTGAGAGCAGGAGGCCCTTTGAGAGGTGGCCCTGGGTCCCTGTGGGAATATCCATCTTGTTGTCCTGTGGAGATGCCAAGGGACCACCTGCTGGCCACCGAGGGCTCAGAGGGCGGGGCGGGCCCAGCCGTCTGAAATGGGCAAGCTCAGTGGGGCTCCCAGGGGTGCCTCTGAGGCTGGCCCAGCCCTAGCACCCCCTTTCCGCGGGCTCTGGAGGCTCTACCTATGCTCCCTGAGATGGAAGCACAGACACTGGTAGAACCAGTTTTCCAGGGTGACTGGGAAATGTCCTGGGGTTTCCAGGACTCCTCCCCTGACCCCCTTCAACCTCTTCTCACTCACTGTGACTGTCAGCAATGACAGCAATCATTAGCAGCAGCAGTCATAACAACCTGTGGTTGAGCAAACCCCTGGGCCCAACACACACTACCTCATCCAGCAGCCACCACACATAACTCTTCCCATTTCACAGATGAGTAAACTGAAGCTCCGGAAAAGAAGCAAGTCTATTGGTAGGCAGAGGTGGGAATCTCACCAGTAGCTGCCTAGGTCTTAGCCTAGTTTTTCAAAAGCATCGCTTCATTCATCCGTTCATTCCAGCACAGGTTTCCTGCGCCCAGCCCAGTGCTGGGTGGAACTGTCGACACAGTGATGACTGAGACCACTCTTGCCCTGCCTTCAGTCCACAGTCCTGTGGCGAGGGGCAGACCCATTCCCAGACAGCGATGCCCATTCATTCCAGCACAGGTTTCCTGCGCCCAGCCCAGTGCTGGGTGGAACTGTCGACACAGTGATGACTGAGACCACGCTTGCCCTGCCTTCAGTCCACAGTCCTGTGGCGAGGGGCAGACCCATTCCCAGACAGCGATGATCCAGAGTGATCTGACCTGGGATGGAGGAGCCCAGGGGGCAGGGAGAACCAAAGGGGACACCACTCAGTTTGAGGGGCGTGGAGGTCTTCCTGAAGGAGAGGACATCTGGGCAGAGACCTGGAGTAGGAGCAGGAATGAGGCAGGTGATGGGGTGGGGTGGGGTGAGGTGTACCAGGCAGAATACACAGCATATGCAAAGGTACAGAAGCTGTGACAGCCATCAAGCTGCACTGAGGGAATTGCAAAATCCTGGTGGAGAGGAGGGCTGAGTGGGAGGGCATGTGTGAAGGCTGGGGAGGTGGGAAGGGTCAATTGTGCCTGGTCTTAGCTATATTGGGACAGAATCTGGGTAATGGAGGGTCTGTCTAATATTGTGCTGTCTAATATTGCAGCCATTAGCCACACGTGGCTATCTAAATATACATTTAAATTAATTTAAATCAAATGTATTAAAAAATGTAGTTT